AGGTATGTTACAAAACACGTATGAAGTAATCTTCAATATACCCCTGTCAAGGGTAAGACTGTTTTGGTGGGCGTGACCGTTTGTTAAAACGATTATCTGGAAGAATTTGTAAGCCTCAGAAGAAGAACGTTGTGAACTTTATGGTAAAATATTATACCATATAGGTTTAAATACTATTAGTGCCATTTAGCAGATGCGTTTGTAACATGTCGCCATTTTAATATCATATGCCCAGTTGCAATGATTGATTGACTATAAGAGGCCTACTTATCAAACCAAAATATTTCGCTCGGTCGCCATATTTTTATTTTTAGTTTTCTTGTAATAGGCCGATAACCTTGTAAAACGAACCTGTTTTATCTCACCATACGAAATATAGAGACTACGTAAGAATTTGCTGCGGCCGCCATGTTAGTATTTTCCATTGCCTTGATAGTCATGTTTAGTCTTAAAAAAATTGGAAATTAGTGCCGTATTAATATTTATGTTCATCATTAAATCAGGTCAGGGGCCGACAAGACACATGCAGCTTGATAATGGGTTCCGAATCACGAATCAGGAACTACCATAGGTGGACCTACTTCTCCGTTCCTCATGTCGTCTGTGCCACAAATCCCAATATTTTTCTTAGAACATTTTCACGTTCAATTATAAAATATCATATTTAACAACTATCCTATGCAGCCATAACAGTTTGCCTCTGTCTAGAATTGTATCCAGGACCTTTCGAATATGATACGCAAATTCCCAGTCTTGAAATTGTCGTTCTTTATTGCTGAGCGCAGCATTTCAATATGAGTTTGTAACTACAGTCCGTTTCACAATGTAGACATACGTATTTGTTTACTGACGTAAGCAAAATTAAGTGGAACGAACTATTCCTCAATAGCTTCGCGGTAATCAGGTACAGACAATATCAAATCTAAAACTTCTTGACGATGGTGAAGAGTCAATTGAATAAAAATTTTCTTGGATATTATCCATCGTCTAATAAATATAAAACGTAAAACGACGTTTCGGAGATGGGACTCTATCTCCGTCTTCAGGTTCCTACACAGTTGGGCCCACTAGATAGAGCTAATCCCTATC